AATGTTTTGATTCAAAATATGGCAATCTGTTTTGTTAAAATGAAACTATCATTGCACGTGTACGAATATTCCGCCAGCTAAACGTTATAATTATATCCCATTAAGCAATAAATCAGTTTGTCAAAAGACAGTCGCAGTATGTTTATAGCTATTGTCGTTTCATTTTCTGCTAGAGGAAACAAACAAGTAGAGAGCGGTTAGCAGACATTTTTGAAATTTGAGTGTGTATAGTAGTAGTTTAGCCTAGGTAACGCTGTCTCTAATTCGAGTTTTCCGATGCATATGGATGCACTTGTGTTTCAATATTCGACCGATGTGAAAGAGCGCGATATCTCTCTCTCAATTTACGAAGGACTTCTAAAAACGAAAAATAGTTTTCTTTTTTTTGGAGAGTGAAATAGCTTTGGGTATTTTTTGTTTGAATGATCACGAAATATAGTATTAGGATATACTTTGTGAAGTTTTGCAACCACGAATTTAGCATATTTGTCTATGAACTTACTTTTGCGAAACAGCGAATGAACGCGAAGCTTGACTACTCTAGTAGTTAGTAGATAATTTTTAAAAACCAATAGGAACAAACGACCGGCTGTAGGTGCAGGCTACCCCTGCGATAGTGCAGTGGTATCTTCATATCTACTAACCTGAGAAGCATGAACGAAGCTTTTTAAGTACAAGTCTCGGAGCAGGCTCTATCGTACCAAACCGTATTATAGGAAAAGCCATTAATATATAATAGTAACTTTCCGTCTTACTTGGTCTTTGGTACTTACAATTGTGTTAAGCCCCTTTTCAGATAAGTATTTGAAGCAGCTCTGTGCAGAAATACCGGGTCTGAGCTCGTAGCAAGAGAACTAAGGGCCGATTATAAACAATTTCTTGTAAATTCAAGCTTTCGAGCTTTTAGGGTGCGATCAACGTCACCGCACCCAGAAAGTCGTAGTGTTCATCAATAGTATTGACTTTATAAATTAAAACCTCTACAGATATTTCTTTCCTTTGAGTGTATACGCTAGGGCTCTTATGAAAAAATGTACATAAACTGAAGTATTGACATTAGAAGTAAACGAGTTCATACAGAGGTAATTTTTCGGAAATTTCTGAAATGGTTACGCTTTCGGAGCCTGTTTTTAACTTCCAAATTTTCATTTTTTTTTTTTAACGAAGTACAGCTGAAGATTTTTGGTGTTCTAATCAAATAGACAATCCGGAATGACATGAAATAAACCAAATAGACAGGCCTGGACCGTACGTTTGTTCCATATCATGCAGAAGGGTACAGATCAGAATACCACATTTATCGAAAATCTAGGTAAATTTGATGCGTGTGAGCAAATAGTAGTCGTTCATTAATGTTTCTGTCACTATCGCATTTATCACGCTGTTACAAGCGAATCCGGTGGACTTTAAAATGTTGTAATTTTTAAGCTACGAAGTTTGGCTGAAAAATACTGGTCTTTTAAAAATCGGTTGAATTTACTACAGGACAAATAAGGTTCGTGAGAAAAAACATTTTTTAGTTTTAAGAATCAACGTTTAGTGGTCAAGTTTTTATTCCTCGAAGGCCACAGCGCTGTGGTCGTTCGTCGAAGATTAATGGACATTAGGCAAGAACGTCTTAAGCAAAAGCGTCGTACATGAATAGTGCAAACTTTTCAAAACGAAAATTGGAGTGTCGAGGTCTAGCGACGCTGTGACTAGATGTTGAGACTCGATGTATTTTTTTTACTTTAATTAAGAGGGCTTTTTACAAAAGTAGGACTTGGAGTCTTAGGGCCCTGTGGATCAAAGCTGGCTTTTTACGTGTAACACACATACTTCAATCATAATTTAGATACTAAAAATACGAAAATTGGGTAAAAAACGGATAGCCCGTGAATCGACTTTAGGCCAGTTGGAAATTTGTACAATGTATCGCACGTGCAACTTTCGAAACCTTAGTCGACAAAAAACCCGTAAGAGTAAACGGTCGCTATCAATAAGGCCTAATTCAGGCCCTACCGCCAACCGAAAAGGAACCAGGCAAGTGAATCACATGCGACCATACTGCACAAAGAGAAGATAATTCCACTCTTTATGACGAAGTCTAGACTAACGCGATGATACTATGTGTTTAATGGGATTGGAGGGGAATAATGCATGATGAATTGTTGCCCCTTAGTAAAACAACTTATCCGAACCTCCCCTAATCAACAAGATTACAACAAGCCATTGAACCATATCGATCGGAACAGAAGCGACGTTGTCTCCCATTATAACAATGACAGATTACAAACATTTTTAGCAACTTTGAAAAATTAGAGCAACATGTATAACAATTTTAGCGTATACGCCGTACAGCCCGAGTACTCTTTTAATCGTGTCCATTTAGCTTAACTGAAAAGAATGCAAAAATCACTTGTCACGATATTTCGTTGAAAAATTATGAAAACAAAAGAAGGAAGTGATGGATTCTAGTGTTGTCAGAAACACAGTAGAAGGCCGTCAGTCAGACTGGCGCCTATTTAGTCCAGTAATATTGCTTAAAAACATAACAAAATCTTTCCTTCAATTTTCGTTTACAGACCGTCAACATTTTCTCAGCAACCCAACATGTACCGAACGGAATATATAAGCCCGGATCTTCTAAAAGTATATTTAAGCAAACACGATTCTTTTAACAATATCTTTTTACATGCGCCAGAAGTGCCTCCCTATCCTCCTTCTGTTACATCTTCGATTTGGAGCCCAAACCGTTGTATGCTATTTCTTCTAATAAGCTTTCCTTTACCCCGCAAATAAGTTTCCATTAGCAACCATGTGTCAAGTAATATTAATAGTTATAAATTTGTTTAAATGCCATTCAAATAGTGTACGCGCAAAAATTTCCATCGATTTTGAATCCATCGAGTCTGGGCTGACAGTAAGTTGGAGGTGCCAACAATGCTGGGGCTCAAATCGGCCAATAATTGCAAAAAAAAATTCTATCTAGGAAAATCCAGGTTATCACAAATAATTTTGATTAATTTTCGAGTCCTCGAATCTAAATTTTATGGAGGCTCCTCTGGTTTGCGTTATAGAAACTTTTTTTTCGATATTTTAGAAGCCACATAAAAAGTGGCAATAACGAAAACTGTCGATTTTGGCTAGAAAAGAAAGCTCATAGAAAATCCGGCGTAAATACACTAGGTAATAAAAACAAGTTGACTCCCGAGAATAACGTACTATCAGGAATAGTTAATGAGCTTAAGTCCGCTAGAACAAGTTGTTCTCCTAAGTAAGCCGCCTAATGTTCGATTTTTATATCCTGCACTATATGTATGTATATATATATATATATATATAATGTCGTACATATATACCCTGTATATAAGTTGTGTGAAGATATTGCTCTCTGCTTGTTCTGTGTTTGCGATTAAGATTTACGAAAAATTTCTCCTGTTGTTCCGGCTCGCTAGAAACTGTTTGTATACTAATACAAGGGCCAGTCTTGTTTAACAAATGAATGCTGCTAATTATTAAATGTTGATTTTATTATGAGCTTTGTCGAATCATAACTGAAGCAACATAAGCACAGCTGCTGTAGTCCTTTTTTCTATTTTCACCTACCATCAGTATGCTTCAGTAGGACATTGATTTGATAGACAAACTACTAGCAGAGTAGGGTATCTGATTGCGGTTCCAAGAGTCGTTCATTGGTGCCGTGTTAAAAAATTTTAATACTTTGAATGTTTATAGGTGTCAGCAAATATTGAAGATTTGCGTGCGCTATTCTCAAACTTAGTAGTTAGTATAGTTATGGCAGCGAAAACATCCGATTTCCGTTTAGAGTCATAAGGTAGTCGTATGCGCTTCTCAAGATTAGAATTGTCAGAGATGGCACCGACTGTGAAGAAGATGAGGTGCAGTACGAACACGTTAATAGTCTGCTAGTGAATCTGCGACTACTAAAAGTTGGGATCTAGGGTGGAAGTGAATCACCACGAACGTGAAAGCAGCATCAGAAACCTAGGGTAGCGCTCAGCTTTGTCTTCTCTTACTTTCTGCAAGCGTTCGGTTCCTGTATGTTTTCACAACGACTACAATTGGCGCTAGGGCCACCGCTACCCTCCTTTGTACTCGGGGGAACAAATAACAACACGAACGAGGCGAGCGAACTGCTGAGGCCTTGCGTTTTGCACCCCCACCCTACGTCCCCACGGGTTGTGTGTTGTAGCTTTAGTTAGCGGAGTTGCCGTTACTGGCAATGGCGACCTTGCCAGCTTTGTCTCTGAATGGAGTAAGCTGTCTTTGGTCAGAACCGGTTCACTCCCGGCTAACAAATTGGCCTCGGCAAAACAAGAATAAACACAGAAGGACTCGCCGAGGGCGAAAGAGATCCAACCGTGATAAAGCCTTTGTTGCGCAGGATTGCGGACAGGTAACGGAGAACACATGCGCCTTACTTTTCCGACCACCACAGCCTTCAGAACCCTTCCGCTGATCGGAAAAAGCTACTTAATTGTTAGCCAGCCTTTTTCATACCAACAGTGAAAGAAGTGGCTTAGACACTTAAAACAGAGTGGCTTACTATTGTCTTGTATGTTCTTTTTATGTTAGGACATAGCGCAGAAGGCTTTCGACGCAGTCACACACATTAAATGGTCTTCGTGCAGAACCGTCGAACCGGTACTGCTATTTAGTCGAACGAATATATAATCCATAACAATCATTCCGTTGAACCGGTCGGTGGCGCGCAAGTCTGTCAGTGTGACGTCTTGTATTCCGAGGTACTATAATCTGAGCAACTATACTGAAAGCGCAATCCGCTTTGACTTGCTCAATTTAACGAGCTTTGGCATTTGATAGGCTTATATTACATGATTTAAGTGCTTATATATTGGCAATCCATCCTCAAAGATTTGGCCTCTTTTGAAGAATACTCCGGCCGTATCCAAATACTAAGGGGCTTGGCTGTCGCTTTGTCGTCGTAACGGAAATTCGCCAAAGCTAACAAGTGTTAGGAAATAGTTGAAGAAACGTCGAGTGAAACATTCTCTCTTCAAACTTTATTTCTTTGATACACAAGAAACAACATATATGCACCGCATTAAATAGACGTAATACGTTCTCATGAAATGATTTGGTAATAAAGGAGAAATAGAAATGGATAGCACTCTTGGTTTTGGAAGTGCTTATTAAAGTGCATTAAACGGGCAATCTATCTATAACAATGACAGGCATTGACTGTTCAACACTTTCCATCATCACTCCACAACAGCCAAGGCACGATGCGATCCTTTACAAACTGAAGAAAGCACTTTTAAAGATGGTGTTATGATAAAGCTAAAATAGCCATACATTTATTGCTTAACTAGTAACTACGCTACTCAATACCGTAACTGTGACTAGATACAACTGTGATTCGGAATCATTGTACTAATATGCACATACACAGAAAAAGAAACAATGGGCCGAAAGTACGACAGTTCTAATGACGATAGCGTGAAACTGACTGCTGATTCCATGGGTATCCTTTACCCTGTCTACGCCAAGCTGATTGAAAGCGTTCCGCACGTTTTCAATGATAAAAGTCAGAGCCAACCTCAGTCAATCTTACTCTTTACGTTTCGAATTTTTATTTCTGGTATTGTCATTCCATCTGGCCATTACATTAACCAGCTGGCTCGCAGTCGTCACGAAACGACCCGTTTGTCTACCTCCGGATTCGTACCTAGACCACAATATGACCCTAAGATACGTTATCCACTAAGCTATCACGGACACTTGACGTTACTCAAATAGGGCTAACTCGCTTACGAGAATGTATGGTGTCAATGCAGAAGCCGGTTTCTCTATTTAGTCAACAAATCGAGATTTTCTTGACTTATCATCTAAACAAAAAACATAATTTAAAATTTTCATGTTGTACAAAGATTTTCCAATACTGATGCTCACAAGATGATACATACGTTACTAATAATAGCAGACAAAATAAAAAACTTACAGCCGGCTGTTAATAACGTTGACTGCTCATATTAAGGCCCACGACTGCTTCTAAATCTATATAGGTGTACAGGTTAAGGTTTTCTAGTATGATTTGCTTTCCGTGCCAGCACGGATATGCTCATTTAGGGATTCACCTGATAAAGCTATGTCTAGCCAATCAATGGAATCCTTCAAAGGATTGTAAAGACATGTTCTCACCGGCTGCGCTTACTTTCTACACTCGTTTGCCACTTAGCGTTTCTTAGAACAGATTGGTTGGGAAATGCCACTGGCCTTCCTTCATGCCGCAGAGTGCTACTAGGGTTGGGTCAAGCGGAGTACTAAAGCGAGTTTTCCGTCTAGACTGGCTCCTATCTGACGATGCAGGACGGACTTCATTGAACACCTCGTTGCTGCCATGAGTCAGGGTTGCGAGGCAAGCCTGAAAATTAGCAGAGAAACATGCTTTAGTACGTTCCTACCTAATCCTTAATCTCCAGTGTCGCGTAGCCTCTTTCTTTGAAATATACGATGCGTGGGTCAGGCCTCGTAGCCATCCGCAAAAACGACACATGATATAGAGCACCTAACGATAAGATGTGCTATGTTATTATTGACAAGCCTAAGCTGACTCGAATGTATAAATAATACCTAAACTTAATATTAATTATAGGATTAGAAACGAATTGGTCGCTTAAATCAGATAAGCTCTTCGTTAATTAATATAAATACGCTATAATAACTAACTAATCACAATTGAAAGCAGCACGACTCTGCCAATAACGTCATCAAATAACTTAATATCAGCGTTACCGTATCAAGATTTATGTTGCGATGCCTTTGAGTATGACGAGGCCCAGAGGTATTTCGTTTTTAGAGATACTCAGTCATTAAAGAGATAAGTGATCAATGAGACAGGTATTGTTCATCACAGTAAAAAGATGGAATCTATGTTTAAGACGATGCACGTACGAAGAATTCGGAGTTTGCCTCACGAACTTCGCCAAAATCTATGGGATCGATCTCATGCCGGGCCTTCATGTAAAGGTCGATATGCGAAAAATAGTAGGCGCACGCGAACGTATTGGAGACAAAATTTGGTTCAATGCCAAATTTGATCAGCATCTGCAATTGGAAACAGCCGGAGTAAAAAGCGGACAATCAGAGATAGGATGGTGCGATCAGTGCTCGACTTTGTCTATAATAATTTCCCTCAAGATACGGGCCTGCAAAAGTGTTAGGCTGGCGGCCGGCCTTACTACTTAATTTTCACTGTCTTCTATGTAAATTGGGATAGCACAGCATATTTACATGAAATGCTAAGTGAAAACGATTTCATGTGTTCGGCAAAAGTTTCTATACGTTAAGGACAATTCGTGTTAGTCCAGCATCGAGTGAGAAATGGCCGATAAAGGTCGAGTGCCGGGCGAACGCGGTCGTGACAACCGCAGTCGCGAAAGCGTATCTATGACAAACGTATGAGAGTTTATGAAGTACTTGAATTCCACTAGGGCCCCTTCATCGAGTCTAGATTTCGGTTGATGATGACGTAAAGAAGCATGTCGAACGAACAATCATACGACTACTACATAATATCGAACGAATATTTTTAATCCTTCAAACGTTATTTTACGTATACCTTACACTGTTATTATTATTCTCGTACCTCTCCGATGATACCATTTGCTTGTTTTTTCGAAACGGTACTGTTGAATAATGGATTCTCGCATATCTCTGTAATCGTACATAATGAATTTTATTATTGGTAAAAGCGGTAACAATCAGTCGGCGATTTCTTATCTTGACCTATGCAAAATGTACTAAGTTAATAAGTTCGGTGTGGTAATATTGCACCGATCCGGCTCGAGTGACGAGAATAGATCTAAATAGATTGAAGCGTTTCTTGTAGTAACAGTGTTAATTTTCTAATCATTTTGCAAAAGACACACTTTATTTCATCTTCTCCTGTTAGGCATCCAAGTCAATATAGCTGATACATCATATTGAAACTGTGAAAGAGCAATCAGACCTGAGCCCATGTAAATTTCGATCTTGCTACCATCAAATTATACACGATCTCGGTCGCACCGCTCACTAAACTGTTTTCGTCTTAAAATATGACAATAGCCTCCATTTTGCGGTTAATGATAATAGCTTTATACATAGTCATTACTTCTAACTTTACCGCTACATTCACTTTCGTAAAATGTGATTTTAACTTATGTTATTAGCTAAATTTGCAGAGGGTTCGGTTGAGCTTTGTTTTGAAGTTACATTTTCGGCGCTTAATATATACGTAATTTGCTAACAGCTTATGAATGACACGTCAGAAGATACACAGCCTCGTGTATCATTTGGTGCTAACTTAACTTAGCTAACTCAACATAGTGTTACTTATGGAATAATTGATTCTTTCCCATGTGCTGTATTACCTAGATTACCTCAAAGGAAACGGCTCCGCAATTAGAAAATAAGTGTCCTCTTCAGCAGATACAGTCGTCTAACAACTTACCTTCCACCGAAGGTGGCGTTACGGCTGAAGTGAAGTCAACCAAAGCTATAGCAACCCACAGAATCATAATGTTTCGCAAGTGGCAGGTCAATAACTTAGTACACACATAATCGCGATCATATCCAAGTGGCATGTTGTACTTATTTGAGTTTGCAATATGTCACGTTGGATCTGACTAAAACTAGGCAGGATATTATTGAAACATGAATGCTCCAAGCAGGCGCATACGACGGACGATTCTTTCGTGTTCACTTCTACCGCTTCGACACAAGCCGCTTATCGTAAGGCAATTGGGCCTGCCTTTACTATGGTGTGCTCGCTGCTACATGTATTAGAACTATTGTTCCTGCAATCTTGTAAACACGGGCACAGCTAACCACTACAAGCGCCACTCCGATCAATGAGATCTAATCCCGACCTGGCTGTACAACTGTAGATTTAAGCGATGTCCCATGCACCTGCGGTGACGCTGCTGGACGAAGCTCGCAATAGACCGAAAAATGGGAAAGGAGCAACAAACACCCGCTTACTACTATACTTGATTGGATTTGCTATTATTCCTGCGTGAGGCAACAGTTGCCGACACCGTTACCCGCTTCATTGCCTCCGGTTGTTTGGCAACAACTATAATGCAATCGAATGGCAACTATCACGGCGTCGACTGTGACGAAGTACGAAACGACGGCACTTCACGTTTTCATACTGCCACTGCAACTGATAATGGCGTTGATGGAAGAACGAGGCGCTAGGACAGGCTTTACCCTTCTACAATTATTACATATTTTAATATGTTTCGGCTGGTAAAATTACTATTACGTAATAATGTTATAATTATTCTGACGGATATAAGGAGATGTTACCTACTGTCATGTAGCATGAAACAAGAAACTGAAGCTGAGGCAAATAGTTTGCTTGAAATGACGCCATAGTCACATATCAATGTCTATATACAAAGTTGGAATTTTTCGAAATTCAACACATCTATGTTCAGCTATTGCTGACGAACGTTGTTTCTATATAGGCTTTATTCATCTAGCTACCTTAAGAAAGATTATAATTGATACGGATTGTCTATATTCGTCGTATGGCGGAGCTAGAACAGACGGCGCGCAAATGCATAGATATCTCAATTGCTCTTGTTATTGTCTGAGTCACCCGAACAGACGTCGTTCTATTTTACTGCCGTAAACCCGTATTTTGTTTCTTTTATGAAAGTGTGCCTCGAGCGTCGACGGCGAAGGCAACGAGCTTCCAAACAACTCTGTACGCTCATTAAAATATGCGCGGACGCTTGCAGTTAGACCACGTCGTAATCAGCGTTGCCTATCCAAGGACGCTTTAGGGAATAGCCTGATCTTTTCAGCGTTGAAGCCGCAGATCCAGACTTATACTTGCATCTTAGCAGTGCATCCGCCGATGCAATTACGTTACAGCAGTCGAGTGCAATGTGTCGCCCTATGGAATCACTACGATGTCCTACCCTGCAAAGTCTTCCATCTATTTCGACAAACTAAAAATATATAACTCTGTACAAAACGCATTTATGGATAGCATCTATATACGTTATTTCGTTTTATCGAAATAGTCCGTCTTTGAAGTTTTTTGCCGCAGGTTCATACATTTTACCTGCAGCAGTTTGCTCCTCGTGAATATTTCAACACCCGGTTCAAATATCCATATACCTGTCTGAATTTTTGTGTAGCAAACGCCTTACGACGAAGATAATGCTTTTCGAAAAAAAAAATTTATATTTCATAGGAGTTAACAATATAAAGTCAATTCAGTATTCCAAAATTAGCGTTGCCTTCCTGTCAATTTATTCTCAATTCGATAAAAACTGGAACATGTGCGGTTAAATATTCGGTATTTTTAGGATACGTGAGTTATTTTGTCGCAAAAATAGATATTGGGCCACGCGTCTGACAACAATACGAACGCCGATCCAATGGGAGCATCGTCCGCTCTATTGAAAAGTTTATCTAATCGGCAATCGCGCTTATATAAAAAAAGAAAAAAGGAAAACGTAAAAATAGCGAGCAAGCCTTGAATGACAACACACAACACTATATATATATATAGTTTTCTAGTAGTTATATATGTATAGTTCTCGATCGTAGCCGCTGCTTTTTGGTTTTCCACATTTACTTAAGAAAAAAAATGCTAGTCAAATAATGTTAGCCATGATGATTGATATTCCCAGAGCACTTGCCTTCGATTTGTACTTACTTCGAAACCTTCGTCTAGCACTGCCGAAAGTTGAAGCGGCCGGCCTTCTACTTCGGTAGTGTATCAAGCTTCTGCTTGTCTTAAATTGCTGAATAATTAACCGCAGCAACAGGAAGGCTTGCCTTATATTGGACGCAACAATTTGCTTTCGATCGCGATATTGATGGCTCAAAGCCTTTGCCTTGTCTTTTGCCCTTTCCCATGCAATTTGGTTTGTATACCACGCTAAACAAGAAAAACCAAGGGTAAGTGCGACAACTAGCTAACATATGTATGTACTATATTTCTGTATAGATATTCCAGAAAATAGAGTACGCAAATGTTAGCATCGATTTTTTGTCAATAGCGGGTATTTTGATACACATTAAAAACATAATAAACGCATAGGGAAAAATGTTTTCGTCTAGTTGAACGAAATCATTCATATGTATAGTCGTATTGTGTAAGGATTGCTTTAGCAAAAATAAAGCTTTCATTTTAATCAACCGGTTGCTATTTTACCGTTCAGGCAAACATGGCTGAAATAACGATAATAGTCGCAAACCGTTGCAAGACATCGTCTATATACAGGGTAAGCTATTTGGCGAGTCTTTGTCATAGTATGCATTGATTAGCTATTCTTGGTGTTAGTGGACAGCCAAATTTTTCTAGAACAAACAACAAATATATCGCGGCGGAAAGCAGTGCGTCATTTTCGCAAAGATCAGGACAAAATACATCTTTTTTTGGGTTACCATGAATTAACAAATAACGTATCGCCAGTACATCTAGGGCTGTGTGATGAATGGCACAGTGGAACATCCATAACCGAGAAAAAACCGGTGAGAGTTAAACGATGCCGCCCAAAACATCGATACGTCTAGCATTTCGTCTATTTTTGTTGTAACAAGAAAGAAAATACCATTTTAGGTGGGTCACCGTATATACACACATAAGATGTATGTATACATATATTTACACTAACTATTTTATCTACATGAGTAAATAGAGCGTTAGATAGATGTTTGTATTGTAAATAGACAAATCTAACTTTAATTCGATGAATTTTTAATACTGCAACTCAGTCTTCCTATAAAAAAACATTAGAATTGAAAAGCGTCTACCGCAAACAGTCAAACGAAAATATCGCTGATGACAAAAAGCAAGAAAAACATCAATTTCGCGAATATTATGGATTCAAGTAGGTAAATATTAACTTGTGTTCAGTTCTGCGATATGCGGAAATGTTGGTAACGCTGAGTCCAGCTGGCAATAACGAATGAATAAATTATGAACTTAGAATAATCTAATAACATATGTCTCAAGTTTTTTCAATTGATTTTACGGAGCGCTCCGTAACTTGACAGTCCATTGTACTTGTGTGAATAAAAAAAAGTAGACAAGCTCGTTGATAGACTCCAGCAGATATGTTATATACGACAGGTAAGTAACGATTGCAGAAGTATCATCTATACACGAAAGCTTCAAAGAACCGTGTTCACGAGGTACTTCATAGGCTTCGTTCTACGTACTGTCTTACCGTCCCACCATGACCTCTATCGGCTTTTATCAGTAAAGCTATCAATGCAATTCCTGACAATTCACACAATTTGGAAACCGCAGAGAAGCCTATCATCCGATTAGACTGTGTACCTTTTCTGGTATAGAGGTCATAGCGTTATCTACATATTGTTGCATATCACTCTGCCCTCATTAGCCTTCTGCGAATGAAATAGCGTCTTAAGGTCCCACTGGTTTAAGCCTTGTACTTACGAAAGTGTGTGAACAAGAAAAACAATGATTCTCATAATCAAGGTAATAACTTTTTCAAGGATCGGTGATTTGACACGTTAGTCATAGATGTACAAGGCATTCTATTGGAATATTTTTTTGTACAACTGTAAAAAATTAATGTTAACCTTAATAAAAGTAGCTCTAGCAGCACCTGAACTATCAAAACGAGTCATATTCCTAGTAAAAGCGTCTCGGCAGGATATTTACAAAATTTATCTATATGCATCACTAGTTAATCGGACTTCCAGTCACCGTAGGTCGTTAATTTTATAGCTACGAGAGATATTGGCTTGAAATATAGTAAAGTATGCTCTTGGCTTGAACAACTGTATGCCGGGATAATAACTACCTGTATAAAATGCTCCGTACTTTTGATAATTGTAATAAATGCGAGTGTGCATTACATTAACGTAAAAACCATGTTGTGACATTCGTAACAAATATTAAAAAGGAAAAAAAAGCTTTTTTTAGTATCGTTTGAACTGTTTTAACACTAAAACAGCTGTGCCCATTTATTTCGCCAACAATGTCGTTCTTTTTTATTAGGAACTGAGCATCGAAGCAAATTTCCAAAGGCAGTACTAGCGGCGATATTTTTGTTCGTCTCGGCGAGATGCGGGCCGCAGTAGAACAGCTGTCATGTTCTTGTGGACAGGCACCTATCGACGCTGGCCGGTGTTCTACGAGCCTATAAAGGCTCAAACTGTCAAGTCACCCACGACGCGTTCAGTCCTGGCCTCTGTTTTGAAACCCTCTAGCTCTAGCGTCTTCTAAAGACCTACCTCCACTGAAGTTGGCAAAGAGTCTCAACGAGATCAAGATAGACTTTACCCATGGGATCGACCCAGCGCCTTGGACTCGTTCGAGTCAGAGCGGCGAAAGGAGCCTCGGTGCGGGAACGATTAACGCCAAGCCCCAAACGGTTCTCCTTTAGCTTGTCCTCGTTCAATCTGTCCAACGAAGTCGTCGTGTATGGATTTAAATTACTTAGGTAGAGGACCAGCTACTGATAACATTCGATAGCCTGAGAAGTAGCTTTTCTACAGTTTATTGCAAAAATTATTGGCGTAATATTCTCTATACGTAAGGTGAAGAACATTCACTTTGTGAATACTTTATCTAGTCGGCGTATGCCCGTGCAGTGACCTTCCTACAGAATCACTTTAAAGCAAAGTCTACAATTGTTTATTTGAAACGACGTCATTCGTAGGTTGATAGTTCCTAATAGAAATATATTCGTTTTTAAAAAATCGTGTTGTTCTTCTCAGTGTTCGTGAACAAATCACCAAATCAAAGGTGAAGGTAGCTTCACATCGATATGTGCCACTTTGATCTCTGAAAATACAAGTCTACATTGTTATAGATTTGGCCATGTTAATCGGCAAGTACTAACTCATCATTCAGTTAATACCAACAGCTGTACAAAGTAGAGTTGGGGACGAATTTTCGTAAC